AGTTTTGTCTGTATTGGTTTTCAGCAATTTTGACTGTGTGTAGTTCTTGTTATCTTTGTATTTAATCTCCCTAGAGTTTGCTGATCTTCGATCAGTAAGCCAGTGGTTTTCACCAAATTTGAGAAATATTTGATCACTATTTTTATAACTTTTGTGCCCCATTATCACTTCTCTTCTAGGTTTCCAATTACACATATGTTAGATTATTGACATTTATTCCACAGATAATTGAGACTCTATTCATTTCATTTTCTTTCACTGTCTCTATTCTCCAGTTTGGATAATTTCAGTTGATCTGTCTTCATTGACTTTTTTTTCCCTGCTATCTCCAATCTGCTTTTAAGCCCATATAGTAAATTTTAAATTTCAGATAATACACTTTTCAGTTGTAGTTTCTGTCCGGTTCATTTTGGATTTTCATTTTTTTCTGGTGAAAATTTCTGTTCATTCATTATGACTGTCTTTCATTTAAGATGTTGAACATTCATTATAGCTTCTGTAAAGCTTTTATATGCTGATTCCCATACAAGATCATCTCAGGGTCATTTTTTATCCTTTTTTCTCTTGACTATGGGTTCCATTTATCTGCTTTTTCTCATGTCTAGCAGTTTTTTTATTATATTGTAGAATTATAAATGACTAATTGCGATGACCCTGGATTCTTTTATCTAACACCGATTAACTTACTGACTGATCACATGACTTCATAGAGTCTTGGTTCCATGTTTGTTAGGGCAAGTATGTTTTGATTTTGCCCTTGGTCTTAAGGTAGATCCCTTACTCCTTAGACTTACTATTTATTCTCAGTGTAGGGTTTTCCAACTTTTCAGTGGAAAGTTTGAGGTGCCTATCAAATTCCTCTAACTTAGTAGGAATCATATTCTAAACTATGTCTCCCCTCATGGGCAGCAGCTAGAATCTCTGCTTGGATCTTTCAGTCTTCTGTCATTTTCCATTGGAATCCTTAGAGTGTCCCATTCATGTATGTAGTTTGGAGATTAGCCATGGATTTGAGGGAAATTGTGCCTCCCCTATGGGTCCATTTTCTACGATTTCTCTTCTCAGTCTCCAGCCACTGTGGCAGTCCAGAACTCCATCCTTTGACATATCAAGCCAATAGAATGGCTTTCTAATTGAATTTTAGTCACCCTGCACCAAGTAGATTGGTGAGTACCCTTAGGGAAAAAGCACATAAACAAGGATGTTACCCAGTGTGATTCTCCTCTTTCAAGGTCAGTCCACACCCTTCCTCCCCCTCTTCTTCACCTACTCTCCGCCTCCCCCCGTTCCTGACTAAGTCAATCTCTGGTGCTTTTAAGTTGTAATTTTAAAATATTCCCACCCCCCCGCCATGGTTTATAATTGTTGCCTTATGAGGGTTAATCCCATATAAATATCTCTACCATTTTTGGAACTTGAGCTCTGTGGCTTACAGTTTTTATGTTATTCAGTATATACTAGTTACTTCATAAGTGTCTTTTAAAAATATAGGAAGTTTTATTTAAAGACTTTTGTGTTGTCTGTACATGCATAATGTTTGTGGTATTAGTAGCTGCAAAAGAAGTACTGAATCCTGAGCCCAGAAGATTCATGTACCAATACCTGCTATACAAATGATCCAATTTATTCCTTTGAAATATGTTTTGAAATAATTTCAACTTAAATAATATAAGAGTAAAATAGTTCAGTGGATAAATTTTTAAAGTTTAACTTGTCTAAATGGAAAACCAATCTTATAATACTTTTTCTCCATTTTCTTCAATTTTTTTTACCTACACCTTTCCAAAGAATTGACCAAAAATGAATAACTTAAAATATCTATGCATCCATTGCTGACATAAATAAATAGGAGAAATCATGGCTCTTCCTCACAGAAAACATTCCATTTAGTAAATGTGGAAGGAAAGAGGGAAATTCACCCTCAGGGGAAAAATCACCATCTGGGGCGCCTGGGTGGCTCATTTGGTTAAGCATCCAACTCTTGATTTCAGCTCAGGTCATGATTTCACAGTTTGTGAGATCAAGCCCCCATCAGACTCCATGCTGTCAGCTTGGGATTCTCTCTCTCTCTTTTTCTCTGCCTCTCCTCTGCTGTGCACATGCTCTCTCTCAAAATAAATAAACATTTTATAAAATTTAAAAAGGGGCATCTGGGCAGTTCAGTCAGTTAAGTGTCTGACTCTTGACTTCTCCGCTCAGATCATGAGCTCGCAGTTTGTGGGTTTGAGCCCCATGTCAGGCTCTGCACTGTTAGTGGGATTCTCTCTCTCCTCTCTCTTGTGTGCACATGTTCGTGCTCTCTCTCTCTCTCTCAAAATAAACTTAAAAGAATAAAAATAAATTAAAAAAAAAATCACTGTCAGAACACTACACTAAAAATTACCATAGGCAAGATCTACCAGTAGATGCTAAAATTAGCAGGCTGAAGTTGAAACGGAAACAGTATATTTGCATAGTCTCAATATTTCCCCCAATATATTTAGTAATTCCCAAAGGAAGAATAATAAACTTATAATGGAAAATCTTGTCAGACATGACCTTAGGCAAGTGATAAAGGTGAACATCACTATAAATACTTATTAACCTACCTCCTGACTTACTTGATGCATTGAGAAGGGCACATCTCTTATGTGGTATTATTCCCAATAATGTATAACTTCCATCTGATCGTGAGAAAACATGAGACAAAACCAGATTGAGAGGCATTATATAGATTAATCAGTTCTCTTCAGAAGTGTCACAATCATAAAAGATAAGACTGAAATTGTCACAGATTAGAGGATACTAAGGAGACATGGTAACTAAATTCAATGTGGGATCTTAGGTTAGATCCTGAACAGAGGTTCTGCCTGGGTAGCTCAGTTGGTTAAGGGTCTGACTCTTGGGTTTGGCTCAGGCCATGATCTCACGGTTCATGAGTTTGAACCCTGCATCTGTTATGGAGCCTGCTTGGGATTCTCTCTCTTAATTTCTCTCTGCCCCTTTCCCCAACTCAAAATAAACCAGGGCGGGCGGTGGGGGGAGATCCTGAACAATAAAAGGATATTAGTGAGAAAAGTGGTGAAACTAAAAATAAATTCTTTATATTGTACTATGTTAATTTACTTAACTTTGGTAAGTCTTTTGTGGTTACATAAGACATTAACATAAGGGGAAGCTGGGGGAGGGTATACAGGAACTTATTTTTGCAACTACTGTGTAAATCTAGAATTTAAAAAATGGATTCTTTTCTATTGTTGGTTATGAGAGATTGCTTACATCTTTTTAAAAAAAAATTTTTTTTAACGTTTATTTCTGAGACAGAGAGAGACAGAGCATGAGTTGGGGAGGGGCAGAGAGAGAGGGAGACACGGAATCAGAAGCAGGCTCCAGACTCTGAGCTGTCAGCACAGAGCCCAACGTGGGGCTCGAACTCACAAACCGTGAGATTATGACCTAAGCCGAAATCAGTCGCTCAACCAACTGAGCCATCCAGGCACCCTGAGATCGCCTGTGTCTTAAGATTTTTCTCTTTAATTCCAACACATATGGTTCTCCAGCATAGTAGTTCTCAAAGAGTGTTCCTAAACCAACAGCATTCATATCAACTGGGGATTTGTTATAAATGCAAATTCTCAGAAGCCTGGGGATGGGACCTAACAATCTGTGTTTTAACAAGACCTCCAGATGACTCTGATGCATGCTAAAGTTTGAGAACCATGATTTGTACCATCAATTAAAACTTAGACTACAAGAAAACATTGTTTTACTATATTGGCCAGTTATTAATAATGTTTGCTTACCATTTTTTCAGATTGTGGTAAAATCCATGTAACATAACAACCTCTTAAATCATTTTTAAATGTACGGTTCAGTGGATTAAATATATTTACATTATTATGTAATTGTCACCACCATCCATCCCCATAACTCTTTTCATCTTGTAAAACTGAAACTCTATACCAGCCTCTGGCAACCACTTATCAGTATTTATCTTTTTGTAACTAGCTTATTCCACCTACACCATAATGTCCTCAAGGTTCATCCATATTGTCCTAGATGTCAGAATGTTTTTCCTTTTTTTTTTTTTTAACTTTCTTTTAATGTTTATTTATTTGTTTTGAGAGAGAGCGAGACAGAGAGTGAGAGAGCAGGGGAGGGGCAGAGAGAGAGGAAGAGAGAGACTCCCAAGCAGGATCCGTGCTGTTAGCACAGAGCTGGACGCAGAGCTCGATCTCATGAACCATGAAATCATGACTTGAGCCAAGATCAAGTGTCCAGTGACTAACCGACTGAGCCACCCAGGTGCCCCAGAATGTCCTTCCTTTTTATGGCTGAATACTATTCCATTGATGTACATGCCACATTTTGCTTGTCCCTTCATCTGTTAGTGGATATTTGGGTTGCTTCCATGTGAATAATGCTGCTATGAACATGGATATAGAAATATCTTTTTAAGACTGCTTTCAATTCTTTTGGGTATACATCCAGAAGTGGCATTGTTGGATCATATGGTAATTCTAATTTTAATTTTTTGAGGAACCATTACCATGCTGTCGTCCACAGCAGCTGTATCCTTTTACATTCCCACCGGCAGTGCTCAATGGTTCCAATTGTTCCACATCCTTGCCAACACTTACTGTTTTCTGTTTTTTAATAGTAACCATCTTAGTGGGTATGAAGTGGTATCTCATTGTGGTTTCATTTCTGAGCTGATGTGCTTGTTGGCCATTTGTATTTCTTCAGAGAAATGTCTAAGTTCTTTGCACATTTTTGAATAGCCCCATCACCTTCCAGCAGATCACTGCTGCTTACATACTTGTTCATGAGTTCATCTTTGGCTCTTGTGGGCTCTCACTTTCTTTGCTTCCTGTTGTCTACCTTGTTTCCAGTTTGCATAAATCTGGAATTTATACATAGGTCTATTTGTACGTTGATTTTGAGAAATGGAACAAAATTTGAAAACTGTATATGACAGCATTTTAATATTTAAACCTGTTTCCAAAAAATTCTCATTACAGACTTACAACAGCTGTGCCAGACTCTGCTTAAACCAAGAAACAGTATGTCTAGCAAGCACTGCTATGAAGACTGAAAATTGTGTGGCCAAAGTAAGTAATATTACTCATCAATATGCATTATACCGCATCTTAACAGTGCTTTATCTGTAAACATCTTTATATCATATTGATATTAAAGATCATCACAAGATTTTATATTAAAAAAAAAAAAATACAGGAGACATCATTTTATCCAAAGCAGATTGCAAGTTGGAGTCTCCATCTTTTCAGTTGCAAAAGAATCTTTTGATTATGCATTCTGGTCACACTTCAGTCGAATTCACATTTGTTACTTGACACTAGTTATGGATTATTACAAATAAATAAGATTCATGAAAGAAAATATACAATTACTTTTATAAGGTTGTTCATGGGTTTTAAATGTAATTAAGTATAGGGTATCCATTGCAAGGATTGTGAGATACACTATAGAAAATCCAGTTATTATAATACGATTATTATTTATTGAAAGGCTAATGATAGAAATATTGCTTTTGGTGATTTTGATCTGAGTGTACAAGTACGTTTTATCGTGCATATGCTCTACCTTTTCTCGTGCACAAAATGTATGTATATCTACAGATATAAAATTAATCACACATTAGAGATCTTATGATCTAATAATTACATTAACTATGGCTCAAATCTTTCAAGTATCTCTAATTAGTTAGGAACTTTGACCTAAATTTCGATATCAGCCATTTTGATTATTCCAGGACTAAGTAAAATTCCAGTATGGGCTCGGTTTCTAGACTTTTACTTTGCATATATGCAAAATTATTGTTTTAATAGCTATTCAGGGATTTGTCACTGTTACAACATTTCCAACTTTAACTACTTAAGTTTAGTCTATCTTATTATACTAAGGCTTTCAGTTACTTGCTGTTATTATTAGAGCCAGACCTGGTAATCAGGTAGTCTCCATCCTTTACTAAAAAATCAAAGGACAGCAATATTTTTTATTATTTTTATTTTCTTTCTTAAAACATAGTCACTGGACCTACTTAATCAACTGAAATCATACTAACTATAACCATTAGAAATGATCCATATAATAAGTGTCAGAATTTATTTAAAATTATAGTTTAAAAAGTTGGTTAAGTGTCTCCTAAATTAGAGTGTCTTAGTAACTTGCTGTAAAATATGAAAATAATAAATTACATGTATTTATTTTTTCAGCCATTTAGTCACAACTAACAAGTGCTAATTGACCCTATTTTGTGTCTGGCATTTGTACATTGAAATGGGGGACCAATTATTTGGGCCTCTAAAAATAATCTTCCTCCTTTTTGGCCACATTGCTCAGTTTCATCACAAGTGGGTGACTTCTGGCTAAACAAGGTAAAATCTTAGCATGAGCACCGATCCAAGGACAGGGTGACAATTTTAATGAGTTTCATTGAGAGCTGGCCAAGTGAGCATCTGTTCCTTTTGTTTTCTCCATACTTTGTAAGCCAGGATTTCTAAGCTATATAGTCATGTTGGTGTGTGTCTGTATGATGTGTTTTGTTTTGTTTTTCTCCCACCCTGTACTTCAGTGGTGCATGGTTAGAAATCTTCTGGCATCTGGCACAATGGCATAATTTCTTCTGTGCTCTTGGGTGAGGAAATAAGTTTGCTCATTGCTGCTCATCTGTCTGTTTCCTTTGCTCCCAGATGGTGACCCTCTCATCCCACTCTTGCTTATTTTAACATTATTCTGACACTTAGATCCTTTCATCGTCTCCTTAAATACCCTAATTTAATAATGATTTCTATCATTTCCTATTGGAACCTACCTAACTTTCTGGTTCCTTTTGTTGGCCCACATCCTGGCTTCTGGTTCATTGCTTCAGATTTGAGCCAAATAATTAGTTGATCAATGGCAAATAAAAACACGTAGCTAAAATTATGTCTTTCTTGTAACAGCCTCCAGTAGGTACCAGTAACATGAGGAGTTTTCCCTTTCTATTTCCCTTCCGTAAGAGTTTTCCCTTTTCTATTTACATATGTTATGTGTACCTCATGATTCTGTGCTGTTTCTGTTGGCCTTATTTATTGCTTGACCTGTGAAAGGTAATGACTTGCCATTATTTTTGTAGGTCTACAAGCTTGTCCTGTTTCCTGCTCTTCACCTTTAGCCCTTAACTGAGTAGTTTCATCTGCTACACTTGATATGGCTGCAGTGGTTTTTAACTTGGTACAGGTGTCCGTTGTTGATTCAGACAGTACTCCCAAGTGGCCTTGAATGTCCAACCATCTCCATGTGAGAGCACCTATAATATAGTGCCGTCAGCCATTTTTTCCTCTAGCTCAAAGCAGCTAATTCTGATGAGTGACTTTGATTTGGGTGAAAATAGTAGTTACTGTTATTGAATATTGTTTATTTTGAGTTTTAGAGAAGACATCAATACCAGTTGTTCCCTGAAAAACAGCAAAGTTGTTAAGTTCAGACCCTGTAGTACATAGTATGTGACTCTTCTTTGGCAGAAATAGCTTACAATAAATGTTTTATAATAGGTCTATGAAAACGGGCCCATTCGTCCTCTTTAGAATACAAGAAAACAAAGTGGTAAGAAAAACTACGGCCACTCTAGGTTAATAATAATCTGAATCTCTAACTTGAAGAATGAGACCTAGGAAAAGATTTAAAAATAAAAATGGGGTCATTTTATCAGTATAACCTGGTCTGAGTAATATTTGGAGGCATTGAAATATCTTTTATTTTCTTTCTAATTATAGGTCTGTAGTTCATGAGATTTGTTTGGAACATGATGAGCTCTGTATTTATTGTAGCTTTAAATGGACAGTCATTATTGACTGCCAGCTTAGTCTTTAAAATCAATAATTACATTGTACCTAATTGTCAACCTTCATGATGTTTTTTTAATTGGTAAAGAAAGCTAACTAGAAAAATGAAGAGCATTACTTTTTTATGTTATCTTGTTGGTGACTTTCTATTTAAATATTACTGAAAATTTTGGGTTCAGGGTTTTCCTAATTTACTTTTTACACATACATGCATGCACAGAATTAAAATTGAGTTGTTTGAACACAGCTACCGACATACCTGCCCAGGTGGGAGAAGTTATGCCTCTTTATGTTTGGAAAATAAACCTCTTCAGTAGTCCTTTGTAGATGTTCTGTATTGTAGTTGTTTGTTGTTACTGTTTTTTACTTGAGACTAATAATCTGTTTGCAACTGACTGAGACAGAAAAATGTGATGTTCCTTTCCACTCACTCCAGATTTTGATAGAAGACTTGTTTTATTTATTTCCAAAATTATATCCGCAGGAAACAAGCTGTTTAAATTCAGATTATGCTGAAGCAAAATGGTCCTGGTATGAGAAGCAACGTGCTGTTTTACGAGCACAGAGTCCCTTTTCTCATAACTGATTGATAGTAAATATTTTCCTGAAGAATTATTGCCAACCATGAACAGTGCAACTGTTTCACTTTTTTTCTGTGCTACTTGCTGTACCAGCCATTGTCGGTAATTAAGATCTACAATTCACAATGCAGACGTTTGCACTTCCTCTGGGTCTGCGCTATTTATAAGGCATTTCAGCTGTTCAGAGTTTCTTTTGAGTTTTAAACTACATGTTAACAGGCTTCTTTAACATACTGTTCCACAAGTAGCATGTCAGATGGTCCATTCTTTGCACAGGCCTCTCTGTTGGGTCTAAACATTAGCTTTGTGGAGAATATATTAACATGGAACCATATCATTGAGGCCAATAAGGTTGGAAAAACTCCGGCATGTTAATGTGTTACACATTAGGCATATTGCTGTTTCAAAAAGACAGGAATAAAGTTCAGAAGTACTATTTTTTTTCTTTCATTTGACAGATGTTCATATGATTTTAATGAGTGTGAATGGGAGTTATAGAGAGGCTCTGAGAAATACTAGTAAAGTGACATTTCCCATCTCGCTTTCAGGTAATAATAGAATAATAGAATCAAGGACCATTATTATAGACAAGAGTTTGTGTGTTTGTCAGATTAAAGATGCAAGAATACACCTTCTAGATGTACATGATATTTAGGAGTACAGACGAGGGACACCAAAATGGATCAGCTGATTGACGGCACGTTTGTTGTATAATCATCTTCAGGAACCTTAAGTAGCATATGCCATTGGAGAGGAAACTGTAAACAGGAATCCTGGTCTATATTAATTCGATAAAATTAAAAGTCATGTTTAACCATTTCAAGAGCATTAATTTCAAAAGGAAAAAAAAAAAAGTCCAGACCCCAGTGAGAATCTTGAACTATGCCCTTGAATGAGAGAACTGCCTATATAGTCTCCTTACTAACTGCACTCATTGCTAAACATACAGGAGAAAGAAACAAGAAGCAGAAAGCTGTCAACAGAGTATGTGTAAAACTTTGCCTTGAGTGGATATCAGACTGGCTGTTAGAAGCCTAAAGTCAGCTGCGTTGATTCTACATGTTGGACACCAGCATCTTCCAGCAGAGCACATCTGCAGAGAAAGGCAGACATGGGTTTCAGTGCTGATTCTTGATGGGCCCTTGAAGATAGAGCTTCAAAGCCTTTCCAAGGCAGTTTTATTGGCCAGAGCCAAAAACTTTCTGTGGTTCTTTTGAACTACATTGTTTGTGTAAACTTATTTTCCTTAGTGAACTCTTTATGAACCTTTTTTTTTTTTTTTTTTTAAAGATAGCAGCATTGGTTCAACTGTTGGGAACCACTAGATCTGACCGAGGCACTTCAAGATGCTAGAACCTATTCACATTTCTGTCTAGCCAGGGAGCTAATAAGATTAAGCCTGTCTTTGTGGATTGGTCTAGATTAGCAGGAGATGAGCCCAGTCAGTGTTTTCCTCAGTGAAAAAGGAAAGGTTGGGAGAGAGAGAGGTGAAGGAAGAAAGTTCTTCATCAAGAACTGACTGCAGTATTGCCTGCTGATGCATGTCGGATCACCCGCACCGAGAGATCACATGGCTTCTCCAAAAGTCAAACGATCAATTCGCCTCGTTTTGGCTCTGTACTTAATGCACAAACAGTGCGATCTGCGGGGCTGTAATTGCATTGTTAGGGCCAAGGAACA